CATCTCCAATATACTGTATTCTCTACCGTAACTATGACTGTGTCTTCATCAGTGGTTTGTCCTTGAATCTGCAGGGGTTCCAACCCTATCACATTGTGTCAAGACTCAGTTTTTTTCCATAATCCCTCCAGATTTAGGGTTTTTACTTCAACTGAAGCTCCACTTTCACCAATGGTCTCTCCTAGTCTCTCTTCAGGGAGACTCCAACCCTGACACATCTTGCCAAGTCCCAGCTTCTCCACATGACTCCTTTGTGCCTGCAAACACATTACCATGTGTTATCAGTTGCCAAACTTGTTTGCCAGCTTGAGGTATGGCCTTGCCCCTGCTGGACAATAGCTTCTGTATACTAAGGAAATATTTCTTGGAAATTTTCACTTCAGTTATGTTAGTCTCCTATTAATAATAGATGATTCTCCATGTTTAGCATCAACTGTACCAGTAAACCAAAGGTTTCACTTCCAGGAATATTTTTTAAAAATTTATTTTTACTTATGTGAAAGAAGGTTTTGCCTGCATGTAGTTATGTGCACTGTGTGCATGCCTGTTCTCCTCTAAGGCCGGAAGAGTTACAGTTGGTTATAATTTACTGTGTGGGTGCATAGCTGAATCTATGTCCTCTTCAAAAACAGTGAGCTTCTGTTGCTGTGACACCATGACCATAAGCAAACTCTTAGGAAAGAAAGCATTTAATTGGGAATTTTCTTCCAGTGTCCAGGGGTCAGTCCATTGTCAACATGGCGGAAGCATGGTGGCATGGATAGCCCTGTAGCAGCACTGAGAACTACACTCTGATCTGTAGCAGTTTGAGATGTGCCCTTGAGACAGCTGCAGGGAGGGGACACGCTCTGGGTCTGGTGTGAGCTTTTGAAACCTCCCAGTCCACCCCCAGTGACACACTTCTTCCAACAAAGCTATACCTGCTTCAACAAGGCCATATCTCCTAATCCTTCTCAAGCATTACCACTCTCTGGTGTCTGGGATTTCAAATGTATGAGCGTGTTGGGGGCATTCTTACTGAAACCATCACATTCTCTTAAACTCTGACTCATCTCTCCAGTCCCCTTCCATAGATTCTTTGTGTGTGTTTGTGTGTGTGTGTGTTGTTGTTGTTGTTGTTATTGTTATTGTTGTTGTTGTTTGGTTATTTCTTTTAATAAGGTTCTCTCTGTGTAGCCCTGGCTGTCCTAGAACTTACTGTGTAAGCCAATCTGGCCTTGAACTCACCTCTGACCACACACACTCACGCTACCTCCTCCCCCACTCCCCAACCATGACAAGTGCTGGGATTAATGTCCTGTACCTTGTTATGTCTTGTCATGCCTTGTTAGGACGATATCCCTGGGAGGACATGGCCTTTTCAGAAGGGAAACAGAAGAGGGGTTGATCTGGGGAAGACAGGAAGTAAGGAAGGGAACTAGGAAGGATGGAGGGAGAGAGGGGAAACTGTGGTGAGAATGTAGTACATTACAAGAGAATAAATTTCTAAAAAATCCTGTACTACCATGCCTAGATATGATTTTATTTTCATAATATTTTTATTGATTATTTGGGAATTTTACATCATGAACCCAGAGAACACTCACCAGTCCTCCTAGGTCCATCTCTCCACCCTTGTGACCCCCACTTCCCAAAGAAGAAGAGGAGGAGGAGAAGAAAAGTCCCCATATATGAACTAGAGCATGGTCAAACTCCCAGAGGCCAGCCCCTTAAGGAAGACTGAGTCCTTCTCCAACATCCCACGGCACCAGAAGCTATCAGATTCTTTTTTTTTTGTTTGTTTGGGTTTTTTTTTTGTTTGTTTGTTTTTTTGGGTTTTTTTTGTTTTACAATGCAGGGTTTCTCTGTATTGTTTTGGAGGCTGTTGGTCCAGCCTGGCCTTGAACTCACAGAGATCCGCCTGCCTCTGCCTCCGGAGTGCTGTGATTAAAAGCGTGTGCCACAACCGCCCGGCTGTTATCAGATTCTTAATCATTAGACTCAGTATCTGGTGTGTTTGAATCTGGCACAATATGCAGTGTGATTTTCAGTTGTCACACATAAATTCTTATTTTCCAACACCAACCCCTTCAGTATTTCTCAGGAATGTGTTGTTTAAATTATCTGCTTTGTTTCTATTCTCATTCAGTGTTCACACTATCGCACAATATCTTTTGTCATTATTATATAACAAAAAGGCACATGGTAACTTAAGATCAATTCATCAATGAGCCCTGCCCAGGGAGGGGGAGTGTCTAATTGATTGGTCCAAAAAAACAGATTTTTTTTTTCTGTTGCTGATACAAATGAAAATTGGTCTTGACTTAGAGTTGAGTGGCAGTGAGAGGTGACAGGCGGGGTGTTCACCTAGAGAAAGGGCACATCAACTACAATTGGAGTTCTCTGATGTTCCTGGCCAGTAGCCAGGACAGAATCAAGGGCATTTCCAACTACTGGCCAAGGAAAAGAGTTAGAAACGTTCACTTGCAGAACCTCAGTCCCAGAATCTCTCAGGTCTGTTCTGTCTCCTGTTAGGAAAGGACACAATTCAGTCATCAGCAGAAGGACTTTCTTGGGGTTGGCGCCATTGCTAGTCAGATGCTCCTGGGGAAATCCTGTGATACCTTTGAGTCTCAGCTTTCTGCCCTTTAACATTTTCAATGCCTTTGATTAAAACGTTTTTCAATTAAAAGAACAAAATCAAGTCAGAATTGTTTTTAAGTAATAAAAGGGTAGTCCACATACGGTTTGGTGAATAGTTTGCAGTGTATTTTTGTCTAGTCCTTTAAAATCTTGCTTTTGGCTTCTAGCTCATGAGATCATAACTCAAATTAAATATAGAGGTCTGTAGACTTCAGGGCTATTCTTACTTCTAAAACAGCAAAGCGCTGTGGGCGAGTCCGACCTAGCTTTCCTGACAACCCAATGCATTCACATCATGGATACTTTCTAAACTTTGCCTCTAAACCACGTTTTTCATAGCAGGATTATTAAATCTAAAATATTAAGCACAATTTTTGAAATGTGTTAAGTTGGCTTCAACAAAAAGTGATTGCATATTTGGTTTTTTTTCAGATAAAAATTGTAAACCCTAAATTTTTAATTTTGTTTTTGAAGTTCTGACTCTCTGCTCCACTCTGTTGTTAAGGGTTCTGTGTTTCAATGATGGCTTTTTTTCTTGAGATGTTTATCACTTATATCCCTTATCTTGAATGTTAGCTCTTTCCACTGGTTGGATGAGCCTGCTTGATTTAATTGTGAGTTTCATGTGGTTTTGCTGTCTTCATGTTTCCTATATTTTTGATCAGGATTGTAGTTGTCAAAGTAAGATTCGCTTACTTAGATCTTACTTGTTGGTTCCAGAATCCTTTTCATAGAATATGCACGGCCCAACTATAGGCTTAATGGGAAATAAGTGCTGTTGACTCCCGTTTGTCTCCTTGCTGCTCATAGTGACAAAAGAAGCAATGCAAGCCGATGGTCTGGAGAGTAAGCGACAGTAGTTATTATGATACTTACATACAGGCAAGAGCCATTTCTTGTAGCAGGATTGCCATCCCCCAAATCATGACACAGAAACTTATCATTAGTTATGGATGCTCGGCCTTAGTTTAGGCGTATCACACTTGCTCTTATAATTTATTTTAACCTGTTTCTCTTCATCTGCATTTTGCCTTGGGGCTTTTTATCTTTCTTTCTGTGTGTCCCACTTCCCTGCTTCCTTCGTGTCCATCTGATCCCTGGCATCTCCCTCCCTTTCTCCCTAGTTCTTTCTCTCCAGCCTATGTTCTTCCTCCTACTTAGTCTGTATGCCAAGCAGTCCTGCCTGTCCCTCCTCCGCCTAGCTATTGGATGCTCAGCTTTTTATTGGACCAACCAGAGTGGGTGCCTTCTTCTCTTATGCTTTAAAAAGTGCTATTGCATGTGAACAAATGACAAATGGACCACACCCATTCACGGTTAGGTACTCAGCAGGTATTTTCCAGTAATGGGTCAAATGAGCCACCTGAAACCACTGTTGCACAATGTATAAACTTGGAAACAATGTCAAATTCAGAAGTTGTATCTACTACTGTGAGCATGGCAGCAATTTGGTTCAGATCTGCATTATATAGTGAGTTCTGTGGTAATGTTAATGATGTGGGCTTGATGAATGCTTATTTGGTAATTATGACTAAAAATTACCACATTTTTCTAAACAATCTATTTATGATATTATAAATTCATCCAAAGCACAAGGTAGAACATTGGTTCTTAATATAATAGAATATGAAAGTGTGTTGACACTTTAAAATCACATTACAACTAATCAAAAAAATTACTAGTAAGTTTTGGTTATCAAAAACAAATAGTTAAGATATTGGAAAAGACTATTACAATAATCCTATCTTGCAAAGCATGGTAGTGTTGTGGGTATGTAACCCCAGGATTTGGGAAGACAGAAGTAGGAGGATCACTCAAAGTTGGAGGCCAGCATCAACTACATAGCAAATTTCAGAACCACATAGTAAGACCCTCATCTCAAAATCACCAAAACTCAACAAACATGCCAAGGTCCTTTTTTTCTAGTCATTTCTGAGGACATATTTTCTTAATGTCCCTCAAAATAAGTCAAGAATTTAAGATATTTGTAAATATATAAAACATTGCCATGGTTCTTTAATCTTAACATATAGATCACTATGTAAAGGTATGTTAATATATGATGAGCTTATTAATATTATAATGAATAAATATTTTAAATGTGTCTTAATTATTATATGAAATTTATAAAAGGCACAATTTACCAGGACATTTTAGTAAATACATTTGCATAGAGCACCCACTTTCCAGAGACCAGTCAATGTCTGTGGTCTCACCACTCACTTAGTAGTCGACCACCCTATTTTAAAACTAAGAAAATGGGGATAAAATGCTCAATTGCTTGCAAAAGCATACATCCAATAAATGCTGTTTCTGCAAACTGTCAAATTGTGAAGTCTTGATTTTAATATCTTAAATATTCAAATCTTGTTTTTCAGAGAATACTGCAATGACCTTAAACTCTCTGATAATAATACTGAATTTCTTTTAAATTTCAATGAATTTATTGATAGAAAAACTCCAAATAACCCTTCCTGTAAGTATATATGAATTTGTAGTATTTGCCTCAGTGCTTGGGTCCTAAGTGATCAGTTTGGTTCATATGATCAAATCTCAGGATAATCATATCAGCTTATTGGTGAACTGATTTATTTACTACTTGAATTTTTAATGGTAATATGCAGCTATTTGGTCCTTAACTTTTTTATTAAAGCAATATCATTTCATTATTAGTGAAATCAAGTTTTCAAAGCAAGGTAGTCGTTTCTTGAAAACAGTTAAATGGCATGCTCAGCCTCTCAAATTTTGAAACTTTGCATTGAGTTACCTATTGAAGACTTTTATTACAATGCACTGTCTATGTAGAAAAAAGCATAGGGTATGCTCTTTGTGTTTTATAGAGTATAATGAATAATCAGAATAATCAACTAATGGTTTTCTTTCCTTATGACAGTTTAATCATAAGCAACTTTGTCAAAAATCATATATGTCTAAGTATGCCTCATAAGACAAATCTGGTAGAAAGTGATGGAGAGAATTTTAATAATTAATTTTAACTATTATAGTTGTCTCATTGATAAATCTGCATCATTAACCCTTTAAGATTTTTCCCATATACCTAGGTTCTAGGCTTTTAAACACTTAATAATCAAAACTTTTTCATTCTAAAAATTACTTGTAAGAGTTCTACGAGGAACAATTCAAATACGAAATAAGGGAGGAAAAACAAATGCACATCAAAACTTACCCCAAAAACTAGAATTCGAAAAAAAGGAACAAATAGACGAAACACTCACTTCTTCCTTTTTTTCTCTTTCTTTTTACTTTTTAAAAAGCAGTTATTTCTATTATAAATGGCTAAACAAAGCGCTTCTATCAGTTACCAAACGTTAGAAAGTCTCCTTCTCAAATTGCCTTCCCAACTTGAATTTTTACATTGGGAAACCAACTGAGTTGTTCCATCTCGCCCCAGCATCTTACATAAATCAGATATTAGTGGAGACTGCACATTCCTTACTTGAGTCAAATGAGACTGTATCATGAATGTGAGAAGAAAGCACCTGTAGGTTTTCTCAGAGTCTCACACCCTGAGAGCAGACAGACCACAAGAGGCAAAGTGAGTATGACATGCTCTTTGATCTTGGGCCCTCGTTTTCTGTCCTTTCTGTTACCTCTGAACTTGGACAGGCATGCTCCTCAGTCATTACAGAATAGCCAAAGCCTGTGCTATTGAACTGATATACTGCATTCAAAAATCCAGTTTTGGAGTAGGATAATTCTATCCCCTTCCTCTATTCCAAGACTAACACAAAAATGGACATTTATAGGAATTTTCAAGAAGTCAAGTTTATGGTATGGTATTGTGTGCTACTGTGTAATATGAAAATACCTTTTCCTTATTAAAACGGGTGAAAGGTGTTTCATGTTTTTAACTTGATAATTTCAGTTAATAATCCTATCCACACAAGAGTACATGTAATTAAGCTGCATAGCCAAGGGAAATGCAGAAAAAAGAACATATCATCATTGTGTCCTGGAATGTCATAATGCAGATGTCTTTTTGCGCTTTCATGTATCTGCTTATTATTATTTGAGTTTTAATTGAGAGTTACATATAGCAGTACTATATTGAAATCCTTTCCTTCCCTGGTTTCTTCCTTCCAATGCCTCCCACCCCTACTCCATCTCAAGTTCATGACCACTTCTTCAATTACTAATGTCATGTATATATGAATATAGATATATGCAAAGTGTATATTCATATGTATGTATGCATATATACATATTTGTGTACATAAATACTTAATATTTATATCTTAAATATGCAAACCTGCATATGCAAATACAAGTCACACACACAGCCTCCTGTGTCCATTTAGAGTTGCTCACATCGATCTGTGTTTAGGGCTGACGGATGGATATCGGATGTCCTATCAGGGGGTCTGGTGTGGAAGACCGATTCTCCATCTCGCAGCAGTCATCAGCTACCTATAGTTCTTCGTCATCAGTGGGGCCTTGTAAAATTTGCATGTCAACTGTTATTTTCTTTGTGCAGTTTTTGGTTGGCCACCATTATTGTTCAATTTTCACAGGTGCAGCTTCCTCGGCATGTCTAGAAATCATACGTCTTTCAATAAAGCATTTTCTCTTATTAGTTATTGGATTTTGCAATACTTATTCATTCGTGTCCCCAGTATACAAGATAAGATAAATGATATAGAAAATGTCCAGTTTATATGGAATATTCTTGCATATCTACTCAACTGGATTTTGAAACTAGTAAATTTATTTGTTTCATTATTTGAATTAAAAACCTATGTGTGTTTAATGAAAGACGTCGTTTTTCTACGTCAGGTAATACAGATTTAATTAATAGAATCTTGCTGGATGCCGGTTTCACAAATGAACTTGTCCAAAATTACTGGAGTAAGCAGAAAAATATGTAAGTATTTGTTCTTCATAATAGAAATTTATACATTGTGTTTCAGTTCCACATCTCCCTGGAAATTTTTTAGAGAATAGGCCTTATAAGTTCAGTTAGTTATTTAGTTTTAGAAATGATTTTTTCAGGAAATCATCTTGCAATTTTTGATAATTTGCATTTTCAGTTGAGAGTGCAATTCCGTGATAATATTGGCCATTTGTTAGCATTACATGATGATATGACTAAAACATTAAATAGACATGTTTGCATATGTGTTTTGTGGTAAAATAGTGTTTCTAGTGAATGCTTAGTTGGTTTTCTACTGACGCATGCCGTACTCTTACTCAGTAGTTGAGAGCTTGCAGGGTGGTTCTCATTCATAATCCTGTCTCCACTTATTTCCAGTCAATCACTTGATGCTAAATACTACTCCTCACTGTGGTTGCCTCTCTTCTTCATAATCAAGGTCCTAAAATACCATTTTTCAGAAATTACAGCAGCCTAGTTTTGTACCTTTAGTGCTGCCCATTCCTGTTGCCAAGTTCCAATTCCTGCAAGGAATTCTTGCCATAATCCTGTTTCTAAAGGTCTTTATTGTAAAGATAAAGATGGAGCTTAAAGACAAGTATGCTGGTACATACCTATGATCTCAGCACTTGGGAACTGAGGCAGGGGTTGCACAGGTTTAAGGTCAGCCTTGGCATAGACCAAATTCTATCTCAGAGAGGTGGGAAGGAGGAGTCCTTAACCATGAATTTCAAAACCACTGCCAGGGTGTCTCTTTAAGAAACGTATACTTAAGAGTGAACTTCCTATAACTTTCCTCCCTTTTTCTTATCCCTTTCTCACAAAAACCAGGTGCCTTGACTAGTTTTCCCTTTTCTCCATACACTGATGTCCTCTGTAATCCTTGCTGACTCCTCATCAGTCATTAAAGGACAACTCCATCCTTTTTGCTTCTGAGATGACTCTTAAAGACACTAACACTGAGAGCTTAATTTCAAAGATTATTAACCTGCCATTTTGTGTGTGTTGATATATGTAACTTGGATTCCTTTATTTCATTTTGTATTATGAACACCTAGCTTAGCATCTTAAAGCTTACTTTTTCATGTGTCTTCCTTTTATCTTCTGCTATAGCAAAGGAGTGAAAGCACGCTTTGTGGTGACTGATGGTGGGATTACAAGAGTTTATCCTAAAGAGTAAGTTCAAATAACATCTGTAAAAATAAGTTCAGCCCAACAGCCTGTGCCAAGGGTCTGGATGCTGCCATGTAAGGAAGTTCTTCTTTGGGAAAACTGATCATTGTTAGTAGATTAAGTTGCAGTATTGTTTAAAGTATTTATATTAATAAAATATTCCATTTCCCTGGGTAATATCATTATAGGATGTTTCAATGGCAGTTGCTAGTCATATTTGTATATATTCATTACAAAATTTAAAAGAGGTTGAAAAAGATGTTCATCTTTGTAGATGTAGTCCAACTGGTCTGTCTGAGCGTAATGAGCATAATAGTGACCTATAGCAGTATTAGCGTAGCAGTCCTTACTTTCATTGGTCTTTCATGCTTCATATCTCTTGTTATCTTAACAACAGTTATTAATACTAATTAACTGACTTATCCATAGTTTCTCAACTGAGAGTCAGCTCCTTCTTATTCTTCTCATGCTGATATATTGCTTAGTATGAGGATCAGTTACACTATCCATACCTGACTTCCTTAGGCATACCTGAATAGTAGATATGTCTGTAGAGCTGTATTTCCACAAAGGGAATTCAGTTTATCATGTACCTTAAGGAATATAAATGATGAGAGCCATTTACTCCCTAGAGCTGGAGAAAATTGGCAAGAAAACCCAGAGACTTATGAGGACAGCTTCTACAAGCGGAGCCTAGATAATGATAACTATGTTTTCACTGCGCCCTACTTTAACAGTGAGTATTCTTTGGAATTCGGATTTCTCCGTTCCTTTTAAACCTTTAATAAACTATGTTACCTAGTCCCTCTCCCTTCAAATGAATATAATTTGTTAACTGCCTAGAATAGTCATTGTTGAGTATATAATCCTTATAAGAGACTGAGAAAAGAGAAAAGAAAAATGCATTTAGTTGAAAAAATAGAAGGCGTACACAGCAAGAAGTCATCCAGCAATGCGGAGCTGGCATCTCCAGCAGGCACGCACAGTAAGTAGAAACATATGGGGCTAACGCCATGTACTTCAGCTACAACAGTCGAGCATGGCTAATGAGAAACAAGTTGGTGTATAGTGATGAATTGTATCTTATCTGTGTTAATTTCATAATTTGCTATCTATAAAATAATAGCCCATCTTTTAATATAATTTATATGATTCTAGCTCCCCCCCCACAAAGAAAACATTTTAGTTCAACCCTTCACCGTCTGTGTACATAGTTACTTTTTACTCTCATTTTAAAATTGAGGAAACTGAAATCCATAAGGTTTTAGAGTTGTATCCACAGACATACATCTTGCATAAGGGAAAGCCTGTTTTGTGACTCCAAGATTTTTCTTTCCATTTCCCTGCAACGGCCTCTCCAACATTTTGAAAATAATCCACAACTGTGATTGGGCATGCGTCCATTATATTATGGAAGTAGATGAAATGAAATTGAGTACTTCCTGTCCTCAAATAAATAAATAAAAACCAACTCATGACTATTCAAGTATCTTGGTAATTCAGAAAGAAAAGAGCAAGCTGAAACCTCTTTGTAAGCAGAATGTACCATTCAGAGGCTTGGAATTAGATTCATCTGTTTGCCTTTCTTTCAGAAAGTGGACCCGGTGCCTATGAATCTGGCATCATGGTGAGCAAAGCCGTAGAACTCTATATCCAAGGAAAACTTCTTAAGCCTGCAGGTAAGCACACATTATGTGTACATGTGACCAAGGTTAAATAAGACGTGACATTTCATCATAAACTGGAAATATCTATCCAGAAGATCACATTTTAAATCTGTGATAAATCTGGCCAATGCTACTCTGTCACTATCTCCTGGTTTCAAAAATACATGAAAGATTTGTGCCGAGGCTATACATATTTATAATCATGAAATTACATTTACGTACTTGCATACTAGACTACTAAGGAGCTGCTAAAAACAGTTAGGGCTGGATCTGTTTAAAATTGTTCAACTTTTTGGAAAAACATAAATCAACCAGGCAACCAAAACAAAAGAGTACAAATGAGAACTAGAAGTGGGCTGGAGTGAGGGAATGCAATAACATAAAATCTAGCCCAGCGGAGATTTTCATTATATGACTCAGCATTGTTTGCAGTTACACTTAGAGGGGGTAGCTGGAAAAGAGGGAGAAGCAGGTTTTCTGCTCCGGGGATCAATGTTACCTTATCTGTGCTTCAACTGCTAGGGCTCACCCATTACTTGCTAGCTCCTTCGCCTCTCCCTCGACGGCTGACTCCCCTTCCACGCATCACTTGCTCTCTCTCCAGCTCTCTATCCCCCTCCTTCCCTAATTTCCCATGTGCATCTGTCTATTCTTTCAATAGTTGCTTCTTGTGAATCTGATGATTGAACCTTCTGTGTGTACTGCTCATATGATCCCATACTTTTAACGTCAAATCTCAGATTTTTTTAGGCAATACTACTATTAATTGCAAAGCCAGATGGGGCTGTTTTTTTTTAAATTGCTTGAAATATAAAATAGAGTTTATGGAATAGTTTGAAAACTTCAAGCACTTTTATTAATGACTCCAAAATCTGTGCCTCTGTTTAAAATAAAAAACAACTTATATTGAATGTCAAATTATTAGGTTGTTTATAAATTATCTAAGTTGTTATGTTGTGAAGATGGAAGATGATATTATAGCAATAATGACTTCAAATTAATTTATATTATTTTTCAGTTGTGGGAATTAAAATTGATGTAAATTCCTGGATAGAAAATTTTACCAAAACTTCAATCAGGGATCCGGTAAGATTTTTTTTCAAAGTTATTAAACTGCAATTAACAGTCTCAAAGTTCACATTAGAAAAATAATCTTCATGCAGTGGCAGACTAGATTTCTGGTGTCACTATACTTAAATAGAAATAGGAATTTCAGCTTTCAATGTTTGATTTTTCCCCCTAGGCAATGAAATGAAAACTGATTCAGGTTGATGACTTGAAATGCTCATACTAATATATATTGATTGATATTTTTGTGGGTTTAAATATGAGGCTAGTATCTTTTCCTTATAAACTATAATTGTTTATTCTTATTTAAGGTAGATAAAGTATTCCAGGCTGTCTTCTTATAGGAAGGTAGTTGTTCAACTGATTTAAAGCTGTGAAGTGGTGATTTTAATTCTTTTTTCTTTCTTTTTTATTTAGTGTGCTGGTCCAGTTTGTGACTGCAAAAGAAACAGTGATGTAAGAAAACTCTTTAAAATGAATTTGACTGGAGTGTTTTCATTGCTCTTGCTTACCGAATATTAATCATGTTGATGATTTAAAAGGTCCAGGGATTTCGGATCTAATGCTAACAAATTCTGTAGAAAACTCATTAATACAGGTACTCTAAATGCTTCTTCAGAAAATATTTCTATATTAAGGGAAGGAGAAGAGGCATGTCCAAGTGGGCCCTATTTTGTTCAGTATTGGTGAAGATGGAGTCCTTTGATTATCTTCAACTTTATTTTTGAAGAATTTTCTAAGCACAGCATTGGTTTCAAATGTGGTCAGCCCTCAACTTTTGTTCTTTCTGTGAATTTTCCGACCTCTTAGGGTGATGGAGGGCAGTGAACTAAATGCTTATGATACACTCCTAAGATGACACCTTGTGTCATCTGTCTTTGCGAAGCTGAAAAAGAAAATGTGAGCTAACGTTGTCAAGGGCCTGACTGCACTCTGAGTAGGATGTTAGAGACACTGGTCCAGGGAGTGAGAGAGAAAGATGCTGGTGACTCCCTTACTCCATGTGTATCTGTCTGAGACTACCGCAGGATGAGGGAGTTTTGTCTTCCTGATAATCCTACTTCTGTGAAATTATATTTTACTTTTATTATTTTAGAATGTATTTACTTTCCCAAAGACCGTGTTGAATAGTTGCTTTAGAGAAAATGTTTCAGCAAACTGTTTTCATGTTGGGCACATAACATATTGTGTTTCCATCTTTGAAATCAACGCTTTAATCATAAACTATTAAATTTTTATTAAACTATAAACTATTAAATTTTCACACATTGAAATCAGGTAGAAATTTCCTTTCTCATCTTTGAGCATATTCTCTTTTGCCTTCTTATATAAATCTTCCATTTCCCAACTAAATATTTTTGTTAAGGTAATGTAAAATAGTTTTCATATTGAGTTTTTCCTAGTCTGGGAAATATAGTAAATAAATGGATTCTTGTTAATATTATGTTTAAAATTGATTTTTGAGAACACTCCACCACATCACCCCCACCACCCTCCTGAAAAAAGAAAATAAAATGTTCATTATGAAAACAATATTATGTTTAAAATAACAAAATTTTATTGTGTCCTGACATATGCTGGTCTAGCCAACATCCTGGATCCTTAGACAGCCTTGCAGTTCTAAAAACACTTGTCTGAATCTCTTTTCAGATTGTTCTAGACAGTTGACATTGGGAGGGAGATAATTGGTGATAGATTATGAAACATGGAGGCTTCATATGAACATCTGTGTGCCCTACATGTGTAAGATTGGTATCTCTGGAAGACATTTTATCTGGAGAAGATGCAGTTTTGAAATTTCTCTTGTTTCTGTTGCTCAACTTACCTGTACACTCTGGAGCGATGACGGAGCAGAGTGGCAGCCTTCCTAACACCTGTTACCTTCTGCTCACAGGTAATGGATTGTGTGATTCTCGATGATGGTGGATTTCTTCTGATGGCAAACCATGATGATTATACTAATCAGGTATGAACCTGGAGTACGGGAGAAGTTCAGTTTCCAAAGTGCTTTCTGTGATAAAAATCAGGAAACCCTTCAGATTTTTAGAAATTGATGAGTTGTTTAGTTCTTGTCACAAAATAAACCTTTAAAAGATTAATATAATATGAGCCAATGCGCTCTAAATAATAAATCTTTCTCTTGTAATTGGCTTTACTTTTAGATAACAGTAGTCACCATTAATGCACACAGTTAAGGATTTTAAAATGATATGAGCTTGCCTTCATTCTTTCAGCAATTCAGGAAATTGCTACATCTTAAATACAATCAGCTGGTAATGTCTCAGTTGTCATATGGACAGATGAAATATCTGGATTAAAACTTGCAAATTGGCCATAAGAGAGAATTAATAGGATCTGTATCCCTTAGTTTTCCTAGCACTAGCTTTTCCTCTGACTAATCATAATTTATCTGCTGAAGCTAGGAGTTTGTGATTGCCCCTTTCTTTGAGGTTCCCAGTTCAGGACATAGCCTGATGGATAGGTTTTTAGTCCTACTCACCCTCATTAAGAGTACTCTGCATTTCTCCAGGGGATATTTCTTTTAGTGCTGTTTACCATGGGAAGCATATAAGTTTAAGATGTTTCATGCATAGCCATTACTGTAAGTCAAGCTAGTTAACGTATCTGCCATCTCAATTGCCTTCCCCTGTATGGTAAGAGAACCAAATTTTCTGGTATACAATTAAACAGTATTAACTATGGTCCTCTCTTGGAATCTTAACCTAGGGGGCCCATTCTTCTCACCGGGGTCATCTAAGTGTGACCTTATTGTACATAGAAGTGGGTTCATTCCTCCCACAAATACAAGACCACTGATGGTCCCTGAATGATGAGAGTGGCTAATTTCCTGTCAATTCTCCTCACATTGCCAGAGGCAGGTTCTCATTTACCCAAATTTACCAACTGTTTTTTTAGTTCAGTTTATTAGATAATATTTTTTCTCTTCATTAATTCAGGCATTGTTTTCAATTTGAAACCACTGAATATCTTTCTTTCTCTTCTAGATCGGGCGATTTTTTGGAGAGATTGATCCAAGCTTAATGAGACACCTGGTTAATATATCAGTTTATGCATTCAATAAGTCATATGACTATCAGTCAGTTTGTGATCCTGGTGCTGCACCAAAGCAAGGGGCAGGACATCGTTCAGCACATGTGGTCAGTAAAACCTGTGGTTGAACTAGTTCCTCTCGTGGGAACACTTGTGCCAGTGTAGACCAACATAATGAATTCTTGATATCTATTTTATATTTTATAGCCATCAATTGCAGACATACTGCAGATTGGCTGGTGGGCCACAGCTGCTGCTTGGTAAGACAAGTGTTTTGTTTTATTATGAACAAAAGAAAAATGTCATTAAAATGTGGATTGGGGGACAGATGAGTCGTATCATAAGTAATATTCTTTCCTATGAACATGCTAGGAATAATAATAGTTGTTTCTAAATGATCATGTGAAACATACTTTTCAACAATCAGTAAAGACACTGATAAATTCAAGAAAATACCCCCTCTTCAGAGATATTTTTGACGTGAAATTGGTTCTTGGTGATTTCTTGTATGTACACAATGCATTTTGATTCCATCATTTTATTTCCCTCCCACCCCTACCAACCTATCTCTCCCCCGCACTACAAATCCCTTAATCATCCATCTTATGTCTTCTTGTTTTGTGATTCACTGAGTTCACAAAGGCCAGATGAGTGATTATGGATTTGGACCCATCAAGCTTTGCTCACCTGTAGGCACGCATTTAAATATAAAGACACCCTTTCTCCCATAATCCATCAGTAACCAATAGTTTAGTATGGAGGGGTGGGACCCAAAGATCACTCCCCTAGCCATGACTAGCGTTCAGTAAGTCTAGTCTTGTGCGGGCTCTGTGTAAGCACCACAGGTGCTGTGAGTTAATTTTGCCATGGTCCAAAGACAGCACATCATAAAACTGGTTTCTGTTTTCTAGCAGTTCGATTCATTTAAGCTCCTCTTCCATGGTGCTCCCTAAACCTGAAAGAGGGTAATGTAAAATATCTTGTGCAGGCCTGAACACTCAGGTGTCCGTTATTCTCAGTGGCCGAGAGTCTTTGCAGTCACTGAAGTCATTGTACGGAGGAACGTCTCTAAGTGAGAGTACCAGGTGTCTATGGACACAAGCCCAGATGCCTTGAAGAGTTTGGCAGCATGCTAATTTAACCACACAGCACTACGAAGTTTTCCCGGGGCTCATTTCCTCCCTAGGTGTGGGTTTTTGACTGGATTATTCTGTGGCTCAGTTAGAACTCTGAATTTTTATTTTTTTAATATTATACTTAATCCTTAAATTCTAAGAGTATCGATAAAATATGACTTATTATCTTTAATATCCAAATAAAATGTGCATATTGGTCCAATTCGTGACATGGTGACGGATTTTTCTACCTTTTCCCGTTAAGACAATATTGGCACAGTATCAGAAGCCTCATATGGAAGTGACTCCTTTTTGTCAACCTTCGGGTGGGTCTCTCCATCCCCTTCATGCACCGTCCCCTCCACCTGCGAAGGTCACGCGTGTGACCCGCTGAGACATGCAGGAGGGAGTGTGAGAATCACACTCTGTTCACCCAGGCCACTCGTCCTCCTCTGTGTCTACGAGTCCTCCTCTCTTTCCTCTGCCCCTACTTGTTTCCTGTCTACCCCGGCTTTCTGGTTTTGTACCTCATGCCACTGAACTGGCATGTTATTTTACAATATGATAGTGCTATTTGTATGTTAATATAAGTAGATATTCTTTATATTATAATAATCCTGAAATACTTGCCTTTGTCCCATTTGCTGACCAAAATATCTATGTTATCGCTACTTAACTAAATTAAGTTCCAGAATGTTTCTTACTAAAATTCGGGTTAAGTACCATTATTATAAAAGTATAGTGTATTGTATTTCTCTATATAATTGTATCTATTCTATATCACAAATTAATCTTACACCTAAAGTTCAGATAGTGATTTTTGTTTGTATGTCTTTATTGTACTATGGAGTTTTAATTTAATTTATTTATCGTTTTATTTATTTACTTTAGTTACTAACTAAAATAAAAAGAAGATTCATGATATAAAAGTTCGTGCAACAAATGCTGATATTCTCCCTCATAAAGTTAGCCCTACTATACAGTAGTATGACTTAGTAGGCTCCTGCACTCATGTGGTAGGCCCCCATACTCATGTATGTCCTCGTTTGGTCTCAAACACCTTTGTCCTCATGAATCTTTTTCTGATGAGAATCAAAGGTAGTACATTTTTCACCATTTAAGAACCAGCAAAATGTCGTAAAATTTCTTGTAAAGTACATTTTCCTCTTAGTGATAAAAACGAAGTATACTTGTGTTTGTACTTGCAAAAATGCTCAGTTTCCATGTAAAACATTGTAAAGGATCATTTCTAGATGTTTCTCAATTGCTCATTTTAAAACTCCAGGTCTATTCTCCAGCAGTTGCTCTTGAGTTTGACGTTTCCACGGATCCTTGAGGCAGGTATGTCACTGCACTGATGTGGTCATTGTCACAGAAGTCCACTTTTCCTTTGGATTGTGCCAAGTCAGTCTAGCAAACCCATAAAGAGAATGTATGTGTGTATGCTTTCATATATGTGTGTGTGTGTATACACGTGTTTATGTGTGTGCATGCATCTATGTATATATGTATATGGATGTATATCCATGAGTATGTGTGTGTGCATGTGTGTATATATGTGTTTGTGTGTATGTGTGTGTATATGTGTGCATGCACATGTATGTGCATGCATGTGTGTGAGTAAAAGAAAGAGATCATCAAACTGATACTTCTGATATACTGAAATTTATTTTCCAATGTTTTTATACTATTTTGTAGTTTGCATTTGTAGCTTAAATATTACTATATGATTTAGAAACTTACCAGGGACCTTTTAATGACTTGCAGGCCATTACTCAACAGTAAAGCAACCTACCAGACATTTGTCATTGTTCACTAATGTTGTCTCTGTAAGCAGTGATTCTGAGACATGTGGCTTCTCCCCTGGTGATGACCTTTGTTTTGCCTCCCACAGTTGAGATGGAGGAGGATGACTTCACCGCCTCCCTGTCAAAGCAGAGCTGCATCACGGAACAAACCCAGTACTTCTTCGATAATGACAGTAAATCATTCAGTGGTGTACTGGACTGTGGAAACTGCTCCAGGTACTCTGTTCCTTGGTGTTCACGAAGGGCAGCATTCAGGCCTGTCAGAGTCTCAGAAAATAACAGAAATTCTCAGTGCAGTCAGAGAGAAGTCATCAGGTTAAACTGAAGATGTGAGAAATACTTGGTTTTGGTCTCATAAAGGCTTGATAATTTATAATTTTTTAGGTACAATTACATGATAAAGACAACTGCTTCTGATTTTTGGAAGAACAGAGAATTTTGAGTGCACTTTTCATAAACAACATCAATATGAAAACTTTGTAACAAAGCTAGTGATGATAATTTCAACCAAGTTGACTTCTTTTCATATATGATAAATAAGAATAACCATTCTTAAAAGTTGGGGTATTCTCTGTCTTGAAGAGTTGAATATTAACTTTGATTTGAAATTGAAGGGTCTGAGGAATATATCTCCTAAGGTGATAGTTAATATTAGCATTCACAAAACATCTTTAAACTGTTTTGGAATACAGAGAAAATGCACTTGGCTGTAATAGGATAAAGGAGAAAGGCAAGAAGGGGGCTTGGGAAGGTCTGAAAGGAAAGTGCTAATCCAGGCTGTGGGGTCCCTGAGCCCCAGTTTACAAAGTGCAGACGGGCTATTTAGAGTTGGAGGGCAAGTCATTCCAGAAGAGCATTAACAGCGAAAATAAATGGGATGAGGTAAGGTAACCTGAGGAAAACATTGAAATAGTTGCTGGGGACTGAAAAAGTTAGTCTACAACAATTATAATAATATTTTTTTTACTCCAAGGACTTAACTGATAGGCATGGTCAGTATTTTTATGACTTGGTTTTATTTCTATTTCTTCAAGGAGGTAGAGTTTATGACGAGCAAAGTAAAGAGAGAAGTCAAACATGAATTCTGGATAAAGATTACTTTCGAGTTTAGGAAACAGAACATCAGTCTAAAGTGGCTGCTCTCAGTGTATGCATACAGCACCTTGACCTTGGTCTAATTGTGGTCCAGTGGCAGCAATATGTATGCTAAGAACTGGAAGGGTAGAGACAGGTCTAACACAGCACTTGAAAGCACAGTCTCTTTAAGTTATTCTATGTTATTTCCCAATTCAAAAAGAAAAGCTAGTAAAATTCCACGTTTTTAAAAACAAACAATGACATCTTGGTCATATACTGGTTACTAAGGACAACAAGTCATCTGACACTGGGAATGGTTCTTGAAGCCTGAATCTGTATCTGCGTTCTGCGATTTAACAGTTAACAACTACATGTACCTGTTTGCATTATAACTAAAGCTAAATGCAATAATGAAACTTTTATGTCACATTCCAAGACCTCTGTTTCTGTATTAGATAGAACAGAAAGAATTTATGCCCTCACAGAAAGCCCGCTGGGAGCACTAATCAGCACTCTATTTCTGACCTCAGTTTGACAATATGCTTAGCTGATTTTTTTCTTGCTTGGCCTGTTGGTAAAATATTGTTGGTTTATTGCCAATGATAAATACCACCATTTCATGAACATTTAAAGTCAAATATTTTTAGGAATTTGGACATTAACAGAAGAGCACTTATTTTGTAATTAAGACTGACAACTTTAAAGATTTCAATCAAAGATGTTTTTAACATGACCTTGACTTTTTTACTATTTTTGAGTGGGGTAATGTGTTCTTGTTACTAAGTAAAACCATGGTGATCTTCAAATCACACTCATTTTATTGTATGAGTGTGCGTGTGTGTGTATGTGAGTGTGTGTGAGTGTGTGTGTGTTTGAGTGTGTGTGTGAATGTGTGCACGTTGTGTGTGTGCATGTGAATGTGTGTGTGTCTGTGAGTGTGTGTGTATGTGTGAGTGTGTGCATATATGTGTGTGTTAGCCTAGATGGTGATGCTTTGTTTTTCAATATATTGTTTTATCTTTCTTTCCAATAAGAAAGCATCTTGTAATGATTTCCAGTCTTTTTCCCAAAAGATGATTTTCACTTAGTGATCTTTTCTAAAATGTTTTTGCAGAATCTTTCATGTAGAAAAACTTATGAACACCAACTTAGTATTCATAATGGTGGAGAGCAAGGGAACATGTCCCTGTGACACACGGCTGCTCATGCAAGCAGAGCAGACTTGTATCCTTTGGCACCAGAAATGTCTGGAAGAGATCATCTTAAAGCAGTGGGTATTTGAATTGGTCACCCTGTTTATGCTCATATAGAGAAAATATTGCAGTACCAAAAAGTTGGAAGGTCAGAACTGATCACATTACTCAGGAAATGTGAGAAAAGCACATTGAACATATAGTTTCTCACAATCCCAAACACTTGAATTGGTTCTGTTGCCTGAGAGCACTGGCATAGGTCGGTCTTGATTGATTTTGGAAATAAATTTATCTCATTGCGTCTTTAACCATGTGGGGAAGAAGTCATGTCCACCCTGTTCCTTGACAAGCCTCTATAGCTGATGGTCCTGATCCTTGTGATATGGTTAAGCAACCCAGATACCGAAAAGGGCCTGATGTCTGCTTCGATAACAATGTCCTGGTAAGGATTTTAATTTATTAAATATTATAAAGTAATAGTCACTTTCCACAAGGAATTAAAGAGGTGTGCGTGTTTTCACTTTTAGCTGATCATTATATCTTTACCATAGTTTTTCTCATTAAGATGATGTAATTGCTAGTAAACAAAAATTTTCCGTTTTAGTCATTTTCATGGTTAGCATAAAGTTCAGAGTTGCTGCTTCTGTCTTTCTCACTATCATACTTTCAAACGCTTCAATACACTTTTTAATATTCTATACAATTATGTTAAAGACATAATAATGAATAATAGCCTGCAGAAAATGCTAATCACAGGAAATACATTGCCTACCCTTAATTTATATTCCAATCCTGGAAGTACACTATTTTATTATAATTAGTATGTTTTTTCATATCCAAAAAACTTGTTATAAGTAATTATTTTCCAATTATTTTATTCTGCTCTCTCCTGTATCTTTTTTTTTCTAAGATTTATTTTATGGATATGGATGTTTTGTCGGCATGTATAATCTATGCGCCACATTTGCGACTCATGCCCAGGGAGGCCAGAAGAGGGCGTCAGAGCCCCTGTGACTAGAGTTACCTCTAGTTGTCAGTCATTACATGAGTGCTTGGAATCAATCCCAGGTCCTCTTAAAGATCAGCCTTAACCTCTGTGATAATTCTCCATCCACTCAAACTGTAATTCTTAGACCATGTTTATATAAAGGATACTTCTTAGTTGTTAAGTAAAGCATTTAGAAAAAAGCAAATAGGTTAGTGTGATAGGCAGCTTTTCCTTGCCAGCTGCTTTGGTTTATCACCCGCCAGTCACCTGGGTTCTGCTGCGTTGTAGTCCCCAAATAACACACAAGATGCTGTATTAATTATGAAGCTGTTGGCCTTGCTTGTCTCTTACTGGCTAGCTCTGCTTTAAGTAATTACCCCATAATTGTTAATCTAAGTATGTCTCTTACCAGAGAATAGTTCTGGGCTCCTACCCCATGGCGGTTACATGTTGACTCTCCTGTGTTTCTCCTTCCCAGAATCCTCCTGGATTCCTAGCCCCACCTATCTAGATTCCTATTGGCCAGACAGTGCTTTATTGACATATACACAGGACTTCCCCAACAGGTTAGGCTACTTCTTTCAGGCCTACCATATTAACAACTTCCTGTGAGAGATCCCAAGACCACTGTGGAACATGGGATGCCAGCAGAACATAAACCATCAGTTTCTGATGGTTAGTAGGATAGTTAGTTGACAGAGTACTACAGAATTGGAGCACACATTTTGTCTTTCATTGGAAATAGATTTTTTCCATAAAATATATCCTGATTACTATTCTCTACCCCTGCTACTGAAATTACTCCCAGTTCCCCCTCACCTCACCTCCCCCCCCATCCAGATGCATGCCCTTTCTGTCTTTAACTAGAAAAGAAGGAATCAAGCAAACTAGAGTAGGACAAAACAACAAACCAGAAAAGGGGCCAAAGAAAAAGTACAAAATATGCACGTAGACACACTTTTACACACATAGGAATCCCAGAAAAAACATAAGGCCACTAACCATAATATATATACAAAGGACGCGTAAGGTTATAAAAACAAAACAAAATAACACACAAAAACCCTGACACAACATTATAAGACAAACAAAATCCCTAAAGATGCCCTTAAGTTCGTTTTATGTTAGCCATCTACATCTGGGTAACGGGCCTGCCTTTAAGAGTGGTTTGTTTCCACAGTGGGACTCTACTGGAGAAAATTAAATTTTGTTTGCAAGTATCTGTCTGTTGGGTCGGGTTTAGGGATGGGGCATGTGTCTGCTTCTCCCTTAGCTCTAGGCCTCCATCTTGTGCAGACCTATGCAAGTCTTGTACATGTTGCCACAGTCTCCTTGAGTTATTTATTAATTGTTTTGTTCTCCTTTCTACTGTGACATTTTTAATTCTGTCACTCCCGCAATTGTGTTAATTTCTTTTCCTTTTATATTAGACAAAATAGAGGGTTAAACTCACAAAAATGTTACAGCCCATACCTAATATATATTGTTACTGATAACTACAAGTTTTCTTTAAATTTAGAGCTTTATATTTCCTAGTGCTTTGACATCTTGTTTTATACTCAGCTACACATATATTCAGCTACAGCGATTTTTTATATATAGTCTCTGCTTCTAAAATTAAACAAGTTTGTTCACAAAAATGACTGTAATGGAAGATCACTGTCTATTTACTTTTACTGCTTTCAATGTAGTATCACACAAGTCTCTAATTTTTCTATGTTTTTTTTTCTTCATTCACTGGTTTACATACCCGAAAGAGTATTGAAAAAACAGAGCATTGTCTTCTTGTGAACTGGCATTTTAATGATTTGTAAAAGCATCCAGTGACTAATGTGTATTTTTACAGGTTTTCACCTAAAATAAAGCAATATCAGACTCAGAAATAGTACCACATTTTCACAGGAATATGTTATACAGATAGGTGAATTAAACACAATTAGAGGAGCCGCATTTGAATTGCCTGCGGCCACATAAAAATATTAGACATGGGTGCTGGTGACTGGAACCCCAACATTAGTGAGTAAAGATAGGCCGATACCCAGACTCACTGGCCAGCCAGGCTTGCCAGCATGATGAGCTTCTAGGTCACTGAGCGTCACTGTATAGAGGAAATAAGCAAAGATGTATAGAAGGCAGAGGGTGTTCTACTCTGACGTCCTTATCACATGCACTGGCACCCTCACATACTAAATTAGACAAACAAACAAACAAACAAATAAAATTGTTAGTGGGATAGATCTAAGAATGTAGGCTGTGGCAGCCAGATCTCTTTTGTTGGAGGTGGTTTTGTTTTTATATTTTATTTTAATTTTCTCATTTGTTTTACATGGCAATCATAGCTCTCCCTCTCCTCCTCCTCCTCCTCCTCCTGCTTTCCACCTCCCCCAACCCCTGCCCATCTGCTCCTCAGAAAGAGTAAGGGCGTCCCATGGGGAGTCCACAAAGCCAGGCACATTCAGTTGGGGCAGGACAAAGACACCCTCCCACCCCCACCCCCGCAACCACATCAAGGCTGAACAAGGCATCCCACCACATGGAATGGGCTTCAAACAGATCCTGGTCCCATTGTCAGTGGTCCCATGAACAGACCAGGCTACAAAACTGTTTCGCACATGCAAAGGGCCTAGTTTGGTACCATGCAGACTCCCCAGATATCAGTCTGTTGTGCATGAGCTCCTGAAAGTTCTGGTCAACTGTCTCTGCGGGTTTCCCTGTCATCATCTTGAACTCCCTTGCTCTCTTCGACTGGACTCCCATAGCTTGGCCTGATGCTTGGATGTGCATTTACTTTATCAGTTACTGAAAAGGTTCTAGGATGACAGTCAGGGTAGTCACCAATCCTGTTTCAGGGAAAGGCCAGTTTAGGCACCCTCTACACTATTACTAGGAGTGTTAGCTGTTAGCTGGGGTCATCCTTGTAGATTCCTGGGAATTTCCCTGGCTTCAGGTTTGCCCCCAGCCCTTTATTGGCTCCCTCTATCAAGATCTCTCTTTCCTTGCCCTTCCTCCCACTCCATCCCTCTCCCAACTCAACCATCCCATTACCCTCATGTTCTAATCCTCTGTCCCTCCCATTTTTTGCCCGCCCCCCCCGCCTAGTTTACCCAGGAGATCTCATCTATTTCCCCTTCCAAGGGCAATCCATGTCTTCTTTGGGTCCTCCTTGTTACCTAGCTTTTAAGGAGCTGTGGATTATTGTCTGGCTGTACTTTACATCTAGTGTCCACTTATGAGTGAGTACATGCCATGTTTGTCTTTCTGGTTCTGGGTTACCCTACTCAGAATGATTTTTTTCCTAGTTCCATCCATTTGCCTGCAAATTTAATGATGTCATTATTTCTTATGGTTAAGTAATACTCTATAGTGTAAATGTACCACATTTTCTTTATTCATTCTTCAGTTGAGAGGCATCTTGGTTGTGGTTATTACAAATAATACTGCTATGAACATATTTGATCACATGTCGTTGTGGTGTGATTGAGCATCCTTTGGATATATGACTGAGATAGATTGATTCTCAATTTTCTAGAAACTGCCATATTGATTTCCAAAATGGCTGTACAAGTTTGCACTCCCAGCATCAGTAGAGGAGTGTGCCCCTTACTCCACATCATCTCCAATATAAACTGCCATCAGTGTTTTTGAAGATATCAGAAAATGGGAAAAATATCCTTAAGAATAATTGATATATTGTCTTGAAAAGTGATTCAAAATTAAAAATAAGTTATTTTTTTTCCAAATTTACCAAACAAGACTTTTGGAACACACAGATAAGAGGACTTCTGCCATTATCTCTACCATATTCTCTGTGGCTCATGTTTTATAGATGCTTGCTCATGGTCCTCAGAGAACTTCCTCGGGGTCCCAGAGTAGTGTCAATCATTACAGAAAATTCACCCAACTAGTTGTCATCAACTTTTAATAGTACAAACACAGATTAAAGTCACAAAGATGATGTAAAAACCCTGTCTCAAATATTCTCATCGTAAGACACTATCTTTTGATCAAGGCTCTGAAAGATGTTTGACACTTACAAACAATCTGAATGTATCAGCTACTTTGGCCAGGTGCTAACAATGCGATGTGATTCTTCAATGGTAGAGTGCTTTGACAATGCTTATTTTCAATGTCCCTGCACTGGATGGCTGCTCACCTCAACCCCACATTGCCAGAAGATTGCATGAAATCTTATCCTGTCTGTCTCTTTTCTGTTTTCCTTCCCTTTCCTGTACTTGCTACTTTGCCCATTGTTCCTAGGATCAATGGATAAGGACTCATGCTAGCTCCACAATGCCAGATCCAATCCTAACTTTATTTCCAGTTTGCATGTGGTGTGGATGGTCAGTCACTTTCTCTAATTTGTTTTTCCTTTTCACTTTGACTTACACTTTTAGAAAATAACCCATATACTTATGTCCATGATTTTTAAAAAACCCAAGTCAAAATTATTAAAATTCCAATACTAATATCATCTTGTAGGTAATCTTTGTCAAACTGTGTGTCTGTTTCCCATGCTAACCTAGTGGGTCAGATATCTATGTTGTTTTAAAAATCATCATTTTCTTATAAGTTTTTGGTATAAACATTAAAACCAATATAGATAAAAATTGAAAAGACTTTCATGTATACATAATTTCCTTAATACATAATTATTAGGACTTGTCATCCTGAGTTAAGTTTTAAAACTGCTTACACAGAATTAATGGGCCGTTTCAGTTGTAGCAAGTAGTTTAAGAATTTCTGAACCAGTCATTCAGATTGCTTTTTTAAAGAAAAATCTAGCTTAAGTATCATCTTTGGATTTATTCCCAAAACATGTGTATGCTTATTACATTTTGGTATACAGGTTCCTACATCCTGAACTCATTTTAGACATTATTATTTGTATCTGAGCCAAAATGGCCATTTATCTTTAATCTTTGGGGAAGTTTTTGAATTAAGAAAGCAGGGCTGTTGAATAGCTTCTGGGTGTGGGTCTGTGATCCATGTTCCATGTATTGTTAATGCTGTTTCGTTTCTGATGCTGTGGAGTCATCATCATATTGCTACAGGAGCATTTGTTTTGTTCTTCCATAATGGGTCCTCAGGTATTCATTGATTATTCCCCCAGACTGTGTGTATGTTAGTAAGAGCAGCTTGGACTCGCGGATGGTAGGGAAAACAGAAGGAAGCACAGGAAATAGCCACCTTTGTTCACAGATGATAAAACAATGGTTTTCATAGTAACTTATTCAAGGGATATTAATTCATAAAGTATGCACATACATTAAAAATCAATATACACAGTGTTATTTAGAATATACATTCATCAGTCCATTAAAAGTATGTAGTTAATCACTTTAAATGTAATAGGATGCTTCTATAACTGCCCTTATTTGTAATAATAATAAAGATGAGCAAAATGGAACCTAAGTGTACCAGCGTTTATATGATATGATTTATATGAAACAGCATAAAATTCATTAATTTGTAGATTTCATTATGCAATTAACTTTTCTCAGTCATAGAAATTTTAGATATAGATTACAGGTTATCAATTAGATGTAAAAATAATAACTACTGGGTTTTGTAAGCTGCCACTACTTAATGAAAATATTCCATTAAATAAACATTAAAGAAAGCAGCAATGTAAATGTTCTAAAAAAGGACCTAAAATCTTAATTTCTTGATGAGGGATGGACTTTGTGTCTAGTTCCCCTTCTCAATACTGGGATTTTTTTCCTTGTTTGAACCTGTACAGGTCTTGCATATGCTGCCTCAGTCTCTGTGAGTTCTTACATGTATCTGTCCTCTTGTATTATTTCTTTGGAGTAATTCACCGCCTATTTCGACTTCTTCTTCTGACCCTGAAGCCTTGAGTAGAAGGATTTGAATAAAGACATCCCCTTTAGGATTGAGGACTCAGAAGTCTCCCTCTCTTTGCACGTTGTCCAATTTTGACTAAGAGGCAGAATTTGAAAAATAAAAAATTTCCTCAGTATATTATTTTCTCAGAAGAGAAGACAGCTATGATACCTCAATACATATCAAAGAAGAGATGCCATTTATTTACTCAGCTTCAAGTAGTGCCTTTATCTCTGACAGGGAAGTAAATCAGAAGTTCCGAGTCTTTGAGAACCTAGGCCTTGTAAAATTACTCTACAAAGAACACTTAACTCACATTTCCTTATGCAATCCATGCAAGATGAGCTTTGGATCAATGAATTCTTAAAATATGTTCATGAGAATAATTGTGCATGATGTTTTTGTGAAATTCACTACAATATGAGGAATTTTAAACTGTGGAGAATGTCGCAGAGATGGAACCCGGGGACAAAAAGTTAAAGAATACCTGGTTTCTTAGGGATCTGACTGAGCCTCTACTGGCTCTATAAAGAACACCAGCAGGTGTGTTCATTGCATGCATGGTGGCATTGCATGGCTCAGTGGATAAGCCTGGGTTCTCTTTCCAACTTAGTTCTTTATTTGGTCTCTGCGTCTTCAGGATGCTCTTTTATTGTTTCAGGTTCAACTACGCTATTTCTCACTTTACTATTGTCCCTAAAGTCAGGGTGCTACCTGTAGCCTATAAGTTCTCCTTAAACATCAGAAATATGAGACATGGGTTTTTATTTCTTGAGTTTGATGATTTCTGCTTATGGAACACAGATATAAAAATCATAATTGTTGGGAATTATTAAAGTATTCAATTTTATTTTTATTTCTTATATATGTACAGGTAAAGGAGTTTTCATCATTGCAGTGAAGTTTTTAATTAGTGATTTCTATATCCAAGCAATAATTCACTATTATTAGCTTTCATTTACCAAGCTTGAAATTCATTCAGAATTTCAAGTCAAATGGTACAAGGGAGACCACTTTAACACAGTTTCTCTACAGTGAAATCTAGATAGATATTACTTACTTCAGTCCTAGGTAAAGCAATCTTACCAGGTAAGTTTAAAAGTGGATTAAATGTGAATTAATGTAAAAGTTGCTTTGTTACATCTTTGTTCAAGCTGGTCATTTATTTGTTTGCATTCCCAACAGGAGGACTATACTGACTGTGGTGGTGTTTCTGGACTGAATCCTTCCTTGTGGTCTATTATTGGACTCCAATTTCTACTCCTTTGGCTGGTATCTGGCAGCAGACACTACCTATTGTGACCTTCTAGACCCCAGATCTGCAACTAAAATCCAGACCCTGCCAACACATGAGCCCTCAGTTCCATTAAAATAGAGTCAGTTGAAGAAGCTACACAGAACATTAACTGGGCCTCTACCATGGCATAAATCTAAGGCTCAGATTCTTGATCAGCCACTGGCTGCATGTCAGGGTGTTGGAGCCTGGAGCCTGTGTGAATGCTGCATCATTTATGTCTAACATCAAAGCAAAACTCTTTGTCTGTGCTCTGCGGGAAGTTTGGGAGTTCGCTGTTGTGCCATTGGTGACTGCATGTAAAAGGCTCCCCCATGCGGGTGTTAGGAAAAGAAGCAGGGTCTTGACTTTCTTTGACCTAGGATTTCAACCTGCTGCAGTTTTATCAAAAATGAGAAAAGAAAAAGAAAAGAAGGAGGAAGGAAGGAAGGAAGGAAGGAAGGAAGGAAGGAAGGAAGGAAGGAAGGAAGGAAGAGAAAGCCCTAGTTGGGGGGGGCAATGATATTTTTGCCTTCACTTATTTTCTGTTAAAAAAGTAATTCCTGCTATAAGTAGTTAGAGAGAGAGAGAGAGAGAGAGAGAGAGAGAGAGAGAGAGAGAGAGAGAGAGAGAAAGAGAGAGGGAGAGGGAGAGGGAGAGAGAGGGAGAGGGAGAGAGAGGGAAGGAGGGAGATGGAGGAAGAAAATACATTGTACTAAGCTGTTGAAATACAAAATAATGGCTAATTTTCTACCAAAACCAAATTTGCCATGAATAAAATGCCTTATAAAAGAATGATTTCTCTGCCAAAAAGAAAACACAAGTGTAGCCAGTTGATTTGGGTGAGGTGGGAAGTACTAGTTTGAAAATAGGGAGGGGGTGACTAAGTTACAGGTGCTTGTGGGTGACATTGGAGTTCATGACACATTTCCTCATAAATGGAAGCCCTTTAATGCGTGACGTAATGTCCCTTTTGTTCAAAGTACAGTCATGTAGTGCTAGCCAGATACTTAACTCGCTCTAAGAGAAGCTTGTGGGGGGGGAGGGGAAATGTTTTCCTGTGGTGAATGAATTTGGGTTGCCAAGGGTATCTTGCATGATGCTGCTGCTACTTTAACTTTCCGGTTTGTTTTTCTTCTTACTGTAGAGTATAGTCCACTGAAACGTTAAATGGGTGACATTATTGTCATGTAAGAATCGGAACTTTGCAATGTAAATGCACTTAAGTCATCTTTCAACATGTTGTTAAACTACTCTGAATATACTGTGTGATGTAAATGCTGAATGACTGGGTTAGGCACACGGTGAAATGAGATTCATGGGTTTTATACAGATTCATGCTTTTGCCTGAAAACCTATGTACAGATATTTTAAGTACATAAATCAGATTTAACACATTTATTTTTTGAAAAGTACATATATGTTCTCAACGACGATTCATCCTAGGTTTCCTCTTTGTTCGTTTCAGTAGTAGCATGTACAATCCAGGAATTGCTGCTCTCGCTGCTTCTGTCCCTCCATTTTGATATGATCATATGACCAAATTCCCACGCAACTTCATGAGGGTTTTACATTAATCTGAACAAATAGGAAACCTTGAATCTATATGTATGCACATGAACACTTGATTGTGAATAATAAAATTTGTTTTTCTACAGCTTTCTTGGTGAAAAGCATTAATGTAGTAAGTCAGAAATTTCATTATAGATTAATATGGTAGCTAAACTTTATTTATGCTTCTAAAAATTATTTTAAGGACTAAACAGTATTTGAAGAAAGGATAAAAACAACGAATGTGTCTAGGAAGAGTAATTTTACTGTAAGCTGAAAGTATGCATATATTTTTATGATAAATGAAATTTTTTCTTATTAGTTAAACATGCCAAGTATTGGTGTGTGCACATGCTGGAAATTTTCACACATATCATTTTACAATCAGAATTATTTACATTCTCCAGCATACTTTAATATTCTCCACATATCAAAGTTGTAGCCAACTCTTTAATGTAGTTTATAGCTTTGCATACATTGTAATTCCTTCCTACCACCATGCTATTCTGAGTACCATTTGTGTACATTTCATAAGTTAAAATCTTGTTTTAATGTAAGGGGTAGGGGCAATTGGAATCACTCTGCCAACTGTTGTTCTAAGAAATGACATCAGTCACCACTTTAAAACATTGTCATTTTTAGTCTATTCATAACTACTGTTCACCTTGGAAAACAGAAAGGTGATTTATAAGAAGGGAAATTATGTTTTAAGTCATGCTGTTTGTTAATTATTTCAAACTTATTAATACATTTTGCTAAATTTAATTCCTGGACATGTTGGGGAGGGGAACTGCTCCTTTATACTTATAAATGATGCACATTAAAACCATTGAATTGCTTCTGGAAAACAACAACCTACCTTAAATTATGTTTAAAGTGTATTGACTTTCATGGATAATGTCACTCACAGAGTGAATTACCATCAATGACATTATTGTTACATTAGTCATCGTTGAACTTGGCACCTTTGGCAAAGCTTTATTTGATTGGAGTTCTATGTTATCACATCCACATATGTGGCAACAAACTGGGCAAAAGCATGCCTTCGCACTAAAACTTCTTTTCATGACATATACTAGTATTCATGCTTTTGCATACTTCTTTTTCAATGCCAGTAACAGGCATCCCACCAAAATTGCAATGTTACACTTAACAGTCTTCTGCAAATTCTATTGACAAAAAAGAGCATAGTGTGTTATTAACCGAAACAGAACTATATAAGAGATCATTTTAAAAAGCATTTAAACTGTTTCTACTTAGTTAACTGTTGCTGTACTCATGTATCTCAGTGTACTTTGTCACATAAACAAAGTCAAAACAAGTCTCGCATTGGTGTTGAGTAGCAAAAAAGAATTTTTGCATAAATGGTTTCATCTTTTCTTCATTTGAACAACCAGCATTACTGCCAAACGCCAATCGTGGTCCATATTTGTAACAGGTTTTTAACATGACATAGTTAGCAAGTTTGATTGAAGAGATTTTTAGGTCCTGGGCCTACAAGATTTTAGTATGATCTTTTTTCATGTTTCTAATGCTTGAAGCATTATTGCTTACCTTGGAAAACACAGTGTTGCTGCCATTTGTAAGTTTTCTTATATATAATATTCCTTTTATTAACTGTAAAACTGGCCTTACGGGGTTCAAATAGGCAGTATCCCTTTTAAGTGACCTTTGCAACCCAAGTGTTACTTGCTTATTTGATGCTCTATTGTACTTTACATCTCATTTAAATGCCTGTCTTCAAGTCACCAAAGTTTAAATTCTACGTCTTCATTTAAAACTCATAAGTCTAAAGGCATAAAGTCTAACTTACCAAGACACAATGGATTTTGTGATTTTTTTTCCGCCTGCCCCAATCTCCAAATATTTAACATTAGCCGGAACTTGCATTGTTTTCCATAGCAGAATGTTAATATTGTTAATATTCGGTGTATATTTCTGTAAAGAGCAAATCACTGAAACAGAACTATCAAGTGGCTAAAAACTTCCATAATTGTGCAGAACTCAATAGCCCTTACCAATGGTTTCATCTACCTTGTTTCTAGTTCACACAAAAGAACCATGGAAATTCCACTGGGACACTGTCTCGTGTAGATGCCAACTGAGTTTCCACTGTGACTGGCAGAACTGTGCTTCCCTTGTGCTGTGGGACTGTGGGACTGTGGGACTGTGGGACGGTGCTTTAGGGATTCCCCTCACGAAATGCTCATTGTGCGTCATGCGAAAGGTCGAGTGGCTTTTGTGAACAACAGATCTTTGCTTCCCTTCTTCTGTTCTCTTGACACTTTTGTGGAAATTAACTAGCGGGATGAAAACATTTTGTAAAAATTTGTATAATACTGTTATAAAGAATATTTATAATCCCAGAAAATGTTGTGTTAAATCTTGTGCAAAAACAGTATATTCAGAATAAAAGTTTATCATTGAAAGTCACCACACAGCTTGGGTTTTCGCCTTTTTTGAAGATCTACTTGAAAGAGCCAATAGGCCATATTAAATAGGTTTTTTAAAAAGCAGGTCTCTGTCTGGAGAAGATTCTAGACTGCAGAAATCAATTTTGGCTTTAGACGTGTGCTTTTACGGTTACAGATCTCAGGTCACACATGGACACATAGGTGATTCTCCCTGTTACTCTTCCTTGACTGTGCATTCCCCACCAAGACTTTGAGGAGTTTAACACAATAAATAAGTAAGACAACTTCCTAGGGTGGAAGTCGTAGTTCGGGGTTTCGTTAAAGACCTTGGAAGGAACAACACATCTGCCATGTGCGTACTATTGATATATTTTAAATATTTATATTTAATGGTAGATGTGGGGTTAAAATACCATGTCCATTATTATAAATGGACTATTGCTGCTTGCCTCACTTCTGCTCACCTCATGAAGCAAAAGCTTGATAGTGTTTGGAAGCTACTTCTGTACATGTTTCCTTACTTTCCTACTTCTCTGCACTGAAGTGTTCCATAAAATAGAGCAAAATATGACCTACATTAGAGACTGTTGTATGTGGTATTGATTACTGGAAAATCTCTCTACCATGTCTGATCAAGGCATGTTAACAGGAAAGCAAACCTACTTAACAGTATAAGACAGATAACATTTGTTTTTTGAACATCTGGCTTTATTCAACACCAATTTGTCTCTTCAGGCTAACTTTGTTCTCTCCAGAGAGCCTCATTTCCATCTTTTCAAGTAGTAGCCTGGCTCCATCAATTCTGCTTTACAAAGCTATTCCAATTTCTCTTCTCTACAGCCTTTTTGCCCCCTCTACCTGCAACTGTATTTAGGATACCTCTAAAACAAACACAACAACTATATACCTTACCACTGCCCGTTAATCCTATTACTCTCTAGTTCTAAATATTCAGCCATCTATATCCTTCTTTTGTATTATATTTAATTGGGCCCTAGAATCTTACATCTGTAAGACAATTTATCTTTGAACTTTTTTGGGGGAGGCTCTCCTGGAACTCGTTCTGTAGACTAGGCTGGCCTCGAACTCACAGAGATCCGCCTGCCTCTGCCTCCCGAGTGATGGGATTAAAGGCATGCGCCACCACTGCCCGGCCCAGCGATAATGAATTTTTAAGTATTAATATATACTCAAACATCAGATTATGTACTTTTAAACATTTTCAAAGTTTTATTTGCCTCATATGTGTATAACTTTCATCCCAAATATTTTGTGAAACTCATAACAGTTTTCCCATTTGTGGCTCAGCATTCAACATACTTTGATGAGTTGTAAGTTTTTGTTTAAACCATCATGTACTTCACAAAGAAATTTCTATGATTTGTCTGAAATCTGTGCTAACCTTTAGAGTGTAGTTTGACACTATGTCTATTGAACAAAATAATAGTAGTAGGTTTACCAATAAGGCCCGTAGGTACTAGGCCTGATTTGTAGCACCAGAGCATGCATTTCCTCCTGTAAAGTGGGACATAAATCCAAACCAAATCAATTGGTTACCTCCATGATATTCATGCCACTATTGCAGCCATAGACATATTTTGCAGTGCCTATCATTATTATAATTCAGAGTTCACAGCTGAATAAAATTTTTAATTATTTTCCCCCCAAGACTCTGACAGCTAACCAACGGTGAAGAAGCTTCATGTCCTGTGGCCAAAGTGTACACTGTCTTCACCAAAGTGTACACAGAGCCTTACACTTTAGTTCAGGTAGGCAAGCAAGAACAATAGCAATACATCTGAGAGGGTCTCAGGGACAGCCCTTTACCAACATGTCAAGGAAGGTTATCTCATACCTGGCACTGCCATTCTCATTTGGCTACCTATGGCTTCTGGGAGGATCATTATCCCCTGTGTAGAGTAACTTCTGTCTCCTACTGAACTCTTTTATCTGACATATATATTCTTATTATGAAGGTTATGAAATACCGTTCCTTTGTTTTTTCAATATCCTTAGTGTTAATTAGTGAAATGGTACCTTCTGGACATGGCAAGACAGCTTTGCTCATGAACTCAAAGCTTCTGTGGTGCCTACACACAGCCTGCACAAGATCAAGATAGTCAACCTCTTCTAGCATGGAGGGAAGAGAGGCTCACAAACATCCACCCGTAGCTCGGGAACTACTTGGATTTGATGGCTTCTGGGGAAAGGAGAGTCAGTTTTCTTCAGGAGCATTACCTCTTATAGATCCACTGCACTCTTGAGTATATGGGAACACAAATTGGATTGGGTTGGTCATTTAAAAAAAAAGGAAAAGAGAAAAGAGAGTAATTTCAGAGGGGTTGAAGAATTGGGGGGAAGTGAAACAATGAGGACAAATATGAAAATGCATTATGTAACATTTATCACAGAATTAATAAAATATTGTATTAAGCACTATATTTATTTAAAGGTCAATATCATTTGGCTTTCTTGAAACATGGTTTAGTATCTTCAAAAATACATCAAAGAATGAGTCCACAACTTTACGTGGTTGGGAAAATGACTTAACAGAACTTTTGTATTATGTTATATAACGAAGTTTCGAGGACAAAAATCTCAAGCCTACCCATTCTAGAAAGGAAAAAAAATGGCGAATTCTAAGACCCAGACCACAACAGTTAAATGATCTTTCATTATGTGTAGCATCTATGAGGAATCCTTTCTTCTCCAATATTCTTAACACCTCTTCTTTTTTTTAACTGAAATAAGTGCTGTTAATGATTACCTTTATAACATCTCAACAACTCATTAACATAAAAATGTAAAGGATTGAGTAAGTTGGACTGCGGTTCCCATCCAAATTTCTTATATTTTATGGGACTTCCCTTTACCAGATAAGTTTCTTTTTGTTTAGTTTAAGACACTAATATGTGAAGCTGTGGGATGATTGGTGATATCTTTTCAGTTAGCAAAATAAAGTGTTAGCAAATTTATGTGTTATAATCTCACCCCTCCAACCTTCTTATATTTATTATTAAGTTGATACGTAAAATGCTTAAACCAGTACCTACTCACTGTTGGAGATATCTAGTCAAATGGTAAATAAAATCCATGGCTTGTATTATTGCAATCATAGCTTCAACACTTACCAGTTACATCTTATGGACAAGTTTCATAAAGTCTCAACTTTCTCAACCCTCAAAATAAACATGATTGTGGTAAAAAAATATAGAATTGTCATGATAATTGAGTGATTATAATTAACATAAAGTTCTTAGGATGGGGCCCAGCACCACATAAGCAAACAATGCTATCCATTATGAATGTTTACAATCACAGTCATCTTCCTGATACCCTAATTAGTTCGTGTTATAGTTCTGAAGATCCTATCCATAAACACCAATGATTTTCATTTAAAACATTCATGTATTCTTAAATGTTAGCAGTAGATACACAAAATAAAGTAACGCCTACATTTATGGAACTGTTGTTGGGGATACTGAAAAGTTAGTAATAATTTACAATAAAGTGAACTAAGTGACCTAGGAAATAAATAGGACTTAACAGAAGGGTAACCCATTCAGAATAAACTTCCCAGAGAAGACTTCCATGGTTTTAACTTGAAATAAATATTGTCACAAATAGAAGAGTCTGCAAAAGCCAAGAAACACATGCAGAACACCTGAGTAGCTGAATGTAAGTCGTGTGGCTGTGGCTAGAGGGGCAAAGTCAAGAGATAGGTAAATCTCTGAGTTACAGAAGCTGCTTGAACATTTCAAAACTACGAAGGTAAGTCAGGGAATAGAAAGATTAGATATCACCCTGAAATATGAGTTGCTGCAGGAGCACCGACGTAAAAGGAAGCCAATTAGGAGATTGGCATAACCTGAGCACATTGTTTGGTGGCATAAAGGGTGTAAGAAACACACAGACCTCTGAGAGTACAACCAAGAGGGTGGAGGAGAAGGAAAGAGAGGGAGGGGAGAAGAGGAGATGAGAGGAGAGGAGAAGAGTGGACACAGGAGAGGAGAAGAGTAGAGAGAGGAGAGGAGAAGAGAGAAGAGGAAAGGAGAGCGGAGAGGAGAGAAGAAAAGAGAAGAAAGGGGAGAGGAAAAGAGAGAGGAGAGGAGAGAAGAGAAAAGAGAAGAGAAGCTATTCATGAGCTTGCTTAGTGAAATAAAAATACATCTTCAAGATTCTGAGGTTTGCCACTGGGTTATTGGTGCAATTCTCTGATTTAGCAAATATGGGAGAATGACTGGGGTAGGGAGGAGCATACAAATGAGGAGGGCTGTACATCAGAAAGACTGTGAATGACACTTGGTATTGTGTGAAGATACATAGATGACAGAAACATATAAGTGACTCTGTTTCCCAACAGAGTCTATAGAATGATTCTCAGCAAGCACTATGTACTGGAAAGCCCCATTGGAGATGCTCTTCGTTTGCTGTTTTAAATACTGATACCTAGATTCCACTAACATTAACTCAGAATCTCAGGTGTTTCATACAGCTAGGGATCCACTACCTGGGAATCTACTCCATAACAATTCAGATGTACATTGTTTCTGCATTTTCCTTTTTGTAAAACCCTGTGTAGATTCTGGTTGTTGGTACAATTTTAAAACATCCATCTTTTAAATGCATTTTCAACAAGTGATGATAAAAATTGCAATCCCCTTGAGTGCTTTTCTTTATTGTTTCAGGTTTCTCTTTTCATCTAGATTATGAAACTCTACACAGCTGATAATCACTGAACATCTCCTTTATTGTGGATAACAATCAGGACTGACCACAATTGGGACAATTGCTTTCATAGGACATTCTGTTCCTGTTTCAGTCAAATAATATCAAATACCTCAGGCAGTTGAACCACAAATGTCTATAAATAACCTTGCCAACAAAATTAACTCATGATAAATGATAGTGAAAGTTGGAGTGAAGTCGGGAAGTGATTACTTGAAAATCTGTTTCCTTTATTATCATAGTGAATTAAGTAATGACTGTTCCTTAATAAAAGAGAAAGATAGCAAGAGA